CCCCCCCCCCCCCCCGCTTCTTTGAAGCAGTTTCTTCCTGGGCTGGTGGAGCAGCGAGAGAGCGAAGCCTCCTTCTCTTCTCCCCCCCCCCCGGTCCTTGCAAAAATTTTCTGCTTGAAACCGGTCCCTGGTACAAAAAAGGTTGGGGACCACTGCCTTAACCCACATCAGATTTGTAGCTTGATAATGCAACTCCCAATTAGGCAAACCAAATCCTCCTCTAATTCTAGCATCTTGCAAAAGTTTTAACTTTATTCTCACTTTCTTGCCTTGCCATATATATTTCAACACAATTTTATTTAAATCTTCAAAGTAATCTTTTCCAAGCCTAATTGGAATTGTTTGAAACAAATATAAAATTCTGGGTAATATATTCATCTTGATTGTTGAAATTCTCCCTATTAGTGACAGTTGTAAATTTTCCCATTTCGCCAGATCTAGCGCTATCTGCTGTTTAAGTTTGATATAATTATTCTCTTTTAGTGTACTACATCTTGCTGTCAAATATATCCCCAAGTACTTGATCTTATTAGTGACCTGAATTTTCAATAGGTCTGCCAGTTCTTCCTTTTGGCTTAATAGCATATTCTTTGTCAAAATCTTTGTCTTATCTTTATTTATTTTCAAACCAGCCACCTTTCCATATGTCTCTATCTTTTCTATCAATTTTGGTGCTGTTTCTAGTGGGTCTTCTAAAATGAAAACCAGATCGGCAGAGCTGGCATCACGATGATACGTCATGCGATCTTGGTGGTCTGAAATCACTGCCGATATCTTTGCTCCTGGACGGTCCAATTGGATCTAAACCATCCCGAAGAGATGGTGAATGTAAAGAGCGCATCCTGTCGATCCCAGGGATACCGCAAAGTCCCTGGTAGATCCAGTCTTCTAAGATGAAAACCAGATCATCTGCAAATGCTTGCAGCTTAAATTCTTCCTTTTTGATTTTCATTCCTTTTATATTCTTTTCATCTCTAAGATTTCTGTTTAGCACTTCCAAAGTTAACACAAATAACAAAGGTGATAGTGGGCACCCTTGTCTTGTTCCTTTTCTTATATTGATAGAGTCTGTCAGTTCTCCCTCTATCATTGCCTTTGCCATTTGCTTGTAATATATAGCTTCTATTGCTTGAATAAATTTTCTAGCAAAGCCCATCTGTTCCAACAGTAATAACATGAATCGCCAATTCACATTATCAAATGCCTTCTGTGCATCTAGAAATATCAGAGCCATTTGTTTTTCAGGATGTGCCTCGTAGTATTCCAAGGTGTCCAAGATTACTCTCATATTATCTTTAATTTGTCTGGCAGAAATCCATTTTGATCAGGATGAATAAAATTATTTAGATATTTTTTAAGTCTTTCTGCCAATATTGAAGCAAAGATTTTATAATCTGCATTTAGTAGAAAAATAGGTCTATAGTTCTTAATTTGTAATAGATCGGCCTCCTCTTTTGGAATAAGTGTAATATAGGCTTCTGACCATGATTTAGGTATCTTCTTCTTTAATATAACTTCATTCATAACTTCTAGCAATGGAATATTCAACGATTCTTGTAATGTTTTGTAAAATTCTGCCGGAAGTCCATCTGGGCCTGGTGCCTTTCCATTATTTTGCTTCTTGAGTGCTTCAGTTAACTCCATCATAGTTATATTGTTTTCTAACATTGTTTCAATCTCTTTAGGTATCTGAGGTAAATTAGCATTCTGTAAGTACTGTTTAACTCTTTCCTCTCCAGGGAGATTAACTTTCGAGCCATAAGTCTGGAGACCTCAATGCCTAACCTGAAAAATGGAGTCAAAGAGCTCAGGCAGGGAAGTTGCTATGCAGCAGGGAAGTTGATACAACAGCAAATGATCCTTAGAGCCCAACTTAATGAACTGAATCTCACAGCCAGGGATCTGTGGGGCACAGCCCTTGAAGTCACAAAAGATTCCCTGGTAACGATTGTCATAAATCTTCCCCTACCCCAGAGTTTTGGTTGATGCCAAATTGAAACACAACTGGGCAAATTTCAGAAAGGAAAACCCCCATTTCAAGACCCAGCCAAGTCTTAGTAATAAAATGTTGGTTTTCTAAACGTCTTTAGAGATTCTCAGTCATCCCGGTCATGGTTGTCCCAAAGGTGCTTTTTCAAGAGGCAACTGGACTTTCTGGCACCAGAAATCTAATCTACGGCCACCCTGTTGTTCATTTATCAAACTGCTTAATATGGAACTTTCTTATTGAAGGTGAAACAGACTCCGTTGATTTTAACTGAAAGGATATTTAAAATTGGATCCGATTTTGCTGCTTTGTGATAAAGTTCTATATGTGTTCTCTGGCATTAAATTCTGTCTGATTCCTTTGTTGTTTCTTTTCATTTTTAGAGCAATGCTGGTCCAGCAGTTTTTTGGCTTCTCCTGTTTCTTTTGAAACATCCTCCAGTCATGGCAGCAGTTCAAGCTGAAATGGAAAAACTATTTAGAAACAGACGATTAGCAACCAGGCCAATTTGTGAGATACTCAACCAAGACGTTTTGGATAGCACACCCATTTTCAGTTAGTAACGTGTCATTCATCTAACCCTGAGCTATTTAATTCCTTAAGTGTCAGTTAAATATTTACCACTGTCATCACTGGATCTCCTGTCTCTTTGATTTGCTTTACTTACTTAAAGCATAGCGAATATCAGATACTTCCCTTTAGCTGTCTCCATGTTGTATCCAGTCTTTTTATCTTGGTAAACATGTGGATATGATCACCGAGAGGAAGACTGCAGTATGTGCCTGGGTGCAATGTCTTTCAAATTCAGGGCTGGCAAAGTTTGAGAGAAAATTCCCCCAAATTCCAGTCACATCCCCCTTCTAAGGTGACCTTGAAATGAGAACTGTCTTGGGCAGGGAAAGCACCCCTGCATAAGATATAATGGAATTATTTATGGAACCATTATTGTAGACTTAGTTTATATTATAGTAGGAAACTAACTTTCCATTTGGTTCTCAGCCAGTCAAGCTAACCAGTCTGATCATTGTCTCTGTTTCCCTTGCTGTATACACTAGGCACCCCAACAATCTTTTTAGTATCATTTAACATTTTTTTAAAAAAATAAAAGTATTATCTTATCCTGTTTGTAACTATTCCTGCACCCTTAATAGTAGCTGTTAACCATGAATTAGCTATTAGTTCAGGTGTAGAGAACCCCAGATGAGAATTAAATTGAGCTAATCAACAATAGGCCAGAGTTGCAGATGTTGATTATAATCTGGTTCAGAGGTGGTATTCAGCAGGTTCTGACCAGTTCTGGAGAACCGGTGGTGGAAATTTTGAGTGGTTCAGAGAACCAGCAAATACCACCTCTGACTGGCTCTGCCCCCATCTGTTCTCTGCTTCCTGAGTCCCAGATGATTGGCTGGGTCTTCTTTGGTTGCCCTGCACAGGAGAACAGAGCTGGAAAGCAGGTTAGTGGGGTGGGGAGGGAATGGGATTTTGCAGTAACCTTCCCCCAAAGTGGGGAGGGAATGGGGATTTCCTGCCATGCCCACCAAGCCACGCCCATAGAACCGGTAATAAAATTTTTTGAATCCCACCGCTGATCTGGACTATTGAGGTTTGGGCTACATGATCAATTGGGGCTTATGCATGTGATTATATGGTGTCATATACCTAATCAGCAATCAGTGTATTACAGTGTCAAAACCCAATCAGAGTAAAAGCTGCATCCCCTGCTTTCAGGTTAAATGGAAAAAGTTCACTATGTTTCATCTAACTTTCAAGATCTTCTGCTACCACTTGTGCCTTCTTTCTCACATTTCATCTCATTCCTAGTCTGAGATTTGCAAAGAACACTTTCAGAATGTAGTAAGGGAACCTCTGAAAGGATGTAGCGACCTTATTTGTAATTTTAAATCATGACATTTAACTCTCAGATTCCTACAGTTTCTTTGCCCCAGTCAGGTCTCCTTTAAGGAAATGCAGATGATCTGTATTCAGAACTGCTACTAAAACTAGCAGTAAAGCATTTTAATTCTAGTCTTCCTGCTAAAGATCAGCATGCGCCTCGCAAAACCCTTTTAAATCACCAATAATCCTATTAAATTCAAAGGGTGTAACAAGTTCCATGTTGTCAGCATCTTAATATTAGTCCCAACCATAGGTATACAGAAAAAAGTGTTACCTCTCATACAAACACATATCATCACATGGTGAAGGTAACTGCTTCAACACAATTGAACTGTATGATTGGAAACTGCCCTTTCTCCATGGGAAAATTCCCAACACAAAAAAATAACTGAACAGGTAAAAGAAATTGTAGAATTATCTTTGCCCTCTGCTGGTTCGCTTTGTATAGAAAGCCCCCACCTCTCCCACTATGTTCATTCTTCTCTACTGCAGGATCACAAATATTACACTGCTTCCAGACCTATCCTCTGATTACGCTCTGGTTATTACATATAAGAAATGTATAAAATAAGTATTAACACTTCCACATATCATGCAAAGTTTTTCAACTGTACTTGATTGAATAAGTTACAGTTGGCAAACTTTCCATGATGTTCTAAGCCAGGGATCCCCAACCTTTTCGACGCCGCGGCCCGGTTCCGACATCAGCTGGGCGCCGCGGCCCGGTACCGGCGTCAACTGGGCGCCGCCATCTTTTTATGACGAAACAGCGCTTCCGGTGAGCTTTCCAAAAAAAAAGATGGCGGCGCCCAGCAACCAGCGGCCCGGTAAGGCTTGTTCCGCGGCCCGGTACCGGTCCGCGGACCGGCGGTTGGGGACCCCTGTTCTAAGCCACCAGTAAAGAAAGACAGAAAAAAGCCAAATCACAGATAATAATGGATGCAGTACGCAAACACTATTTATTATTAGATTTTTTTTATCCTGTCCTCATTATTTTTATAAATAAAGCAACAAACATACCTAATACTGCTTCCTCCTATTTTCTCCAAAAACAACAACCCTGTGAGGTAGGTTGGCTGAGAGAGGTGTCACCAGCTGGCTTTCGTGCCTAGGGCAAGTGCCTAGCTAGCAGTGATCTAACTAACAGAATTATATTCTGGCTGGTTTTCTTAGGCCCCCAATGTTAGGACAAGAGTTCTATTGAGGGTTTTGCAGCGATAATTCAGCGCCAGAAAAATAAACACAGATGGCTGATGCTTCATTTAATGTCTTTATAAACATAATAAGATTTTACAAACCAGTTGTAGATTTCTCCAACATGGAATTCAAACAGAAACATGTTGCAAGTTCAGAGCAGAGCTCCAGTCTTCAGCAAGCAAGCAAGTTAGTTTTATCTTTAATAGACAGACTCAGAGCTCAACACATAGTTGTGGAGCTTAACATAGAGCCAAGCCTAAGCTACTTCTAGTTTCAGTTTCCAGCCTAGGCAACTTCTAGTTTCAGTTTCCAAAAACAGTCCTCATTGGCTGACTTAGTTGCTATGCCTTTTCATTGCTGACCTTGTTACCAAGCTCTATTCCAGTTCATGAATATACTTGACAAGTTCCTATTATATTTCCTTTTTTTCTGGTCTTGTTTCTAAGGGATTTGGCAAGGTGGGAGTTTGGGTGGCAATTGTGATGGCTATAAATTGAGCTATCATCTTCCCTGCACATTGATGTCATGACAGCCTATCCACACCTTTGCTCCTGTGCTATTTTGGGTGCCATAATTTTCCCTGTGGGTTTTCTGTTTGTACAGACAGTGCTTTAAATGAAACCCTGCGTTTGACAGCTGCTCCTTTTATCAGCCGAGAAGTCCTTCAGGACATGGCCCTGAGACTGACAGCTGGCAGAAAGTACCACCTGAGGAAAGGAGATAGGCTTTGCCTCTTCCCATTCATAAGCCCTCAGAGGGACCCCGGAATCTATAAGGAGCCAGAGGTAAAACAGTGCTATTCTGAATCTTGTTTCCCCTGATGACTTTGCTCTGATGTTTGTTTGTGCTCTTAACTACTATATTGAGTGAAGAACTGTGATTATTCAGTGCGCAGCATTCTTAGACTTGTCAAAACTACAGGCAATGACATAATGGCAAATCACCTGAGGGAACAGCTACATGTAGACATTGCATAAGTCAGGTAATGAGGCTGAGGTTGAGATCCCAGGTTGAGATCCCAGGTTGAGATCCCAGGAAGAGATCTGGCAGGCTTATCTTATAACTACCAAGTATAGCAGATTTTCTTCCTTCATTTGCAGTAGAGCCTTAAAGATTCAGAATGGAACGAGTCACAGCAGCCAGGTCGATATGGATGGGTGGGCACAGCTGGGTGAGTTTTACTTGGTCAGTGTGGCCAGGTGGGCATGGATGGGGGCACCCACCCAGTCATGCCCACCTAGCCACACCAAGCCATCTATACCAAACCTGGCTGTTGTGAGAGATCAAAGACCCTTAAAGATCTATTCTTGGGAGAATTTCTGGAAATGTTACTGCTAAAGCTTTCTAATGATATAGCTGTGTTTAAAACACTGTCAAGGTTCCAAGTAATACATCCCATTCAATGAGATCTCTGAGGCAGGCATATTCCTCAAAGAACATTTTATTGGGACATATATAATTGGCACAGACTTGGAGGAAAACCGGCTCCAAATTCCCGCTGGTTTTACACACCCAATTAAAAATAAAACTTTGTCACTTCCCCCCCATGAGTCTCCAGTCACATGGTCCAATCAGCATACAGTCCAGTTGCTAGGTGACCTCAGTCTCCACCTTTTGAACACCTGCACCAACGTCCTTGGTTCCCAGGGGAAAGAATTTTATTTAGGTTACAACACCCCAGCTACCTCCTTGGCCCCTTCGCTCCAGGCTTCGCTCCAGCGCGAAGAGAAACTTAGAGGAAAGCTACAAAAACAAAATGGCCACAGTTAGGCCAGCTTCAGGGTTGACAAACACGGTGAATTCAATACACACGTAATCTTTGACTTATGACCACAATTGGGACAGGAATTTCAGTTGCTGAGCATTGCGGTGGTTAAGTGAGTCATCACATGACCCGAACCGATTTTATAACCGTTTTTACTCTGGTCTTTAAACAAATCATAATTGTTGGTCAGTGCATCACAGGGCTGTTAAGCAAATGATGCAGTGGTTAAGCAAACCCAGCTTCCCCAATTGACTCTGCCTGTGGCTGCAGGCTGCGACCACGAGATGCAGCTGACACATGTGAGCCATTTGGGGATGGGGCAATGGCTGTAACTTCAGGGATGGGTTGTAAGTCACTTTTTCCAAGGACATCTTCGTCCTCTCGTTAAACAAATGGTCTTAGGTCAAGGACTAACTGTAAAATGGTCAAAAAAAAATAAAATAGTTCCATATTTGGAGTGGAAAAAGAAAATCAGCCCACCCATCAGTCTTGGGTTTTCTCTCTCTGCACTGAACGTCTGAACTGATTGCATCAAGAAAGGAATGCAGACCTTCTGGTGGGTAACATTAAGATTCGTGATGGTTCTTTCATATCAGCTCAAAAATATATTTTTTTCTCTCATAAGACCAGCTCTCGAGTTTTCCCAGGAACAAAAATAGTTTGGATCCATATTTATGATATAAAAATATAATGATATAATAATAGTAAGAATGTAAAAACCTCTCCTGGAATTCCTGTTTGGCTGTTGCTATGGCAACCTATTGCACTTCTTTAAAAAATATATCAGTATCTTCCCCAGTTCAGTGTTCCTAACTTGCTTCTCTTTTACTTCACCTTTCTAATTTTTTCTTTGTTGACAGAGAGTCATACTGGAACTGCTTCCTTTTATGAACAATTTCCCAGGAACAATGCTGAGAAAACCATGATAGTATTATAACCCAAGTCCCAATAAACAGTAAAGCCTGTGGGTTTGTTTTCCTGAGACTGGGAAAAAAAGAATCTAAATATAAAAGTTCTGATTACTATCACACTTGAAGGAAGGTTAAGATCACAATACAAGAATTCTCACAAATATTCTACTAGATACCTACACAAACTCGATCTGTGGGAGGAAAACTTGCCTCTTTGTTGAAGCAAAGTAATACATAGTTGTTCATTTAGGGAATTGCTGTTCCTTTTACCAATATAACAAATTATTTTCACAATGTTCAACAAGGCTTTATGACTAAATTTACTTTGGAGTGGAGTGGATTCCTTTTTTGAAGGATAAAAATAACAAAGGCAAGATTTTAAAAAACAGAAAAATCTAAAATAAAACCTTATAGAGTTTATCTTATCCAACTGCTTTCATTTCTTTTGCCATGTTTTGCAAACAGTAAATATTTTTATTGCTTCAGGATCATAGAATACTTAACATATAAACGTTTATGAGATTGAAGTTAATTAGGGTTAGTTTATACCAATTTCAGTGGGTCTGCTTTAAGATTAAATTTGGATCCAGTTCCATCATGTGTCACATAGACAATTCCCCTCCCATTTATTCTAGTTTAAACTTCTGGATGGAATTTTATACAGCTAAATATCCTAAGTGGGATGTTTCTTTTTAAATATTGGTTATTTCAAATGAAAATGAACATTTATCTGAATTTTTTTTCAGAAGTTCATATACAACCGGTTTCTCAATTCAGATGGCACAGAAAAAAAAGACTTCTATAAAGGAGGAAAAAGGCTCAAATATTACAATATGCCATGGGGAGCAGGAATAAATGTCTGCATTGGAAAGTTCTTTGCAGTTAATAGCATCAAACTGTAAGTGAATGCATAACACTCTCTAAGCATAGAATCGATTAAAAGAAGCAAGGGTTGGCTTGTAGCAGAAGCTAAAGCTCTTAAAGGCAAAACAAAGTGAACAGGAATGCTCATCTGATAAGGTTTCACAGTGTGAATATGGATTGAATCCATTTTTAAAACTCTATGAAGTCTTCATCCGTTACTCAGATGATACTCTATCTGAGATTACTTCATCTATTAGTTCCAAATTTCACTGTTCATAACCACTCAGAGTAACTTCTCATGAAATGGGCACATAAAATAAATTTTACATCTTGTGATCCATCAGATTGAAAGGAAACAAGATGAATGCCAACCGCAAGTTTTGTTTGACATCCATTACATCTGTTACTTTGCAATTCAAAGCAAGCAGCAAATTAGTTTCCTTATATACCCCAGAATAGATTGCTGTTCATTGTTAATTAGTAATAGCCTGCTCTCAGTTTGATAGTTGGTCTGTTCAATTTTGCCTTAGCAAAAATTCAAGGATTCATTTACTGATCCATTTGGAGTTTCTGCTGATTGCCTACAAATACTGTATCTCAGTCCATTCATTCAGAGGATTTATTGTGCGTGCTTTTCTGGGTCTGAAGTGGCTGTAAGCCATAGTTTGTAAAAAAATTAGTTTCTCTGGATCTTACTGCTGGGTAAATTTGTTAAGAATCACACCTCTGGCCACCGCCAGTGTCTTTTAGAAATATCCAATAAAGCCACACATTATTCTGAGCAAAGCTGTATAAGATCACAGTTACTTTTAATAGGTTAAGGACTCACAGTGCAAATTTGCATGCTGTACTGCTTAGTTTTACAATTGTAATTTTTGTTTAATTATCCCCCCTTTTTTTTGAGGCTAGATATTTCTACTTCTTTGATATTAAAACAAAAAAAATTGCAAAGTGAGTATCATTGGCCATACTGATTTGTTTTGGCTTTCTCCTATTTACAGATGTGTTTTCCACCTCTTAAACCGTTTTGACTTGGAACTGATAGATCCTGCTAAGGAAATACCAGGCTTTGACAAGGAGAGATATGGTTTTGGAATGCTGCAGCCAGAAACGGATGTCAGAATACGATATAAATTGAAAGACCAGTAAAGTGATGGTCCATTTCTCCAGTCATTCTGTCTAGAGTATAATCCACAAACAAACAATGCTTGTTAGTTACTGTTGGAATTGATTTTGGGCAGGGGTGGGATTCAACTGGTGTTACTACTGGTTCGGTGAGAGTTGTGTTTTGCATGCGCACGCACGGTTCACATGCGCGGGCCTGACACGCACTGCATGTGCGTGTACATTTGCAAAAAGACATCAGCTGTGCCGCCAGGACAGCTGACAAGCGCTGCACGCAGTTGCGCAGCATTTGAAAAGCTTCTTTCCTGCTTTTTCAGTTTCAGCTGCGCCGCACAAAGCAGCTGAGGTTGAAAAAGCAGGAAATAAAGGACAGCCAAAAACCCAGGTGGGCGGGTGGGCCAAACATACAACCAAAAGGTCGTTGCACTGAACTGGTTCGGTGCCTGCTGCTCCTCAGAGCTACCGGTTCTATAGAACCAGGCCGAACCAGTAGCATCCCACCTCTGATTTTGGAGCCCCATTTCTAAAAGGATGGCAACTGTCTAATACTAGACCAAATTCTGCCTTTCAACTTCCTGAAACTGTTCTCCCCTCGTGAAAGTGGCTTCAGTTTTTCAACCTCATTCTCAAGATGTTTCAAAAGTATGAAGAAATTTGCAATATAAGCTATTGTGGGTGAGGCTGTTACTTTTTTCAGTTTGACCTCACTCCATCACCCTGTAGCCTCTCAGGCTTACAGTGACTTCTCATCTGAAAAAAGCCCCTTGTGAAAAACAAGAGGTGTGTGTATGTGTGTAGGTAAGTATGTGTAGACTGTAGGAGGAATACTTTACAATGAATTACAAGATCCTGATATGATACTTCATTTCCCGTTGGGTGCAATCATAATGGAATTCATGCAAAACACCACGCTCCTTTTATATGGATTTTAACTGAAATTCCATTGTGTGTTTAAAAAAAAAAAGGCCAAATCACATTTTTTATCAGTTTGAATTCAGAAAAATATTCTGGTCCAGCGCTCAACTATGGTCCTCCAGATGTGGTGGCTGGGGATTCTGAGAATTGTTTAATGCAGTTGGAAAACACTAAGTTATAGAAGCTGATTTATGTTTATCTATGAAAATGCATTTTATGCTATTTTGCTATGTATGTATATGTATATATGCATGTAAGTAGGCCATTTCACATAATACCTATGTGCAGAAACCATTTAGACTGGCCTTTTTGTGACACAGTAGGAAGCCAACTGAGTTCTGAGTGAATAATAAATATGAATAAAAATAATTTGTTGGATTGAAAAATAACTGTAAACTATTAACTTACAGTTTTATCCTTAGATTCTTCAAGAAAGATTTTTAAAAACCATCCAAAAAACCCTTCATAATATAGAAAGAAGCAGGTAACAACTAGCTACATCAAGAACAGCACATGTGTATGTGAGAAACACATACATTCCCCTGGACGCATGGGAATCAGTGATATCAAAATGGCAGACATAATGGCCATATGCACTCCAGACAGTTAAAGGGGGCAGGGATTGTACCACTTGGTTGATAATGTTTATCTCCACAGCAAACGTAGCTATATAACTCTGGTGGTGTTAATTTGTGGCTATCCAGGATTTCCCACTGTTCGCCATGCTAGCTTGCTACTGTTAAGAACAGTATTCCCAAAACATCTGGAGCGCTACAGCTTCCCTGTCCCAAAACAATATTGCAAACCCAATGACATCACAAAGCCACCTATTGAAAACAGTGTATTTTTGAATTGATATAAATAGTAGATAGAAAGGTTCATTCAAGAGCAAGATCACAGGCTGTTCTATACCTCAGCATTAAAATGCAGTTATTCAGCACAGGAACTAGCTTAAGGTATGTCAGCTTAAAGAAATGTTGATCACACTTTACCAACATCTATTCTGCCCTGAAAATAAAGTAGAACTGGAGTGTCTGTCCACACAAGAAGCTGTAGGGAGAAGTGGCATGGAGAATGCCTCCTTTGATGCCCATTATTGATAGCAGAAGACCTTTAAGACTTCTACTATTGGATGTCCAGCCCATGGTATGATTTCTCTGTGGGACTAGATACTTCTTTCCATCTTGTTCCCCCTTACTTCTTCTGCTACCTCAGAAGTTTTGTTTCCTTCTAATCCAGTGTCAACTGTTATCATCCAGTGTAAACCACCACCAATCGTTTTCCTTAAATTGTGGCAGGGACGGCTGGGAATATATGTGTCAGTGCCTCAAATGGTGGCTTTAGCACTTTTCAAGTTGTCAAAGTGTAATTGTGGAGGTACTCCACACCAGTAATCTGTTACACGGGCTATTTCAGAAGACAAATTTATGGGCTAAAAATGGTCCAGCTGAATGATGGTGGGATTAAAGTAGGGATTTGGAATGTGTAGTGAACTATCAGTAAGCTCCTGACCTATTGGCTGGACAGGTTTATAGGCCTTACAGAAAGACTTGTAGCGTAATTTACCATATTTCCAATAACTTGCCCTAGAAATGGAAAATGGCAGAACTGTTGTCGATTTCATCCCAGCTCCCAAATATTCCAGACAAATAAATGTAGAAAAGAAATGCTGGAAGCAAGTAATCACAGCACCCTGAAATATCTTATGAAGGCCGCAAAATGGTATTAGAGTAGGCCAAATGGCACTATTTCAATGCAACAACATATGTTGACTATGATTGATTTACATAGCTGCCAACCTTCAAAGTAGACCAGTTTAGGAAATCAAAGTCATGTAGGCCCATATTATTTTTACTGTAAAAATACTGTATAATAACAGAATGTTCCTTCAGTCCCTCAAAGCCATTCTTTATGCCCTCTATAATAGTAGAAAAATCAACAATGCCTAGCCTTGGTGAAGTCCACAGCCAGGGGCAGCACTCAGTAATCTTGGCTGATCTTGAAAAGCTAAGTATACCTAATAGTACTTAGAGGTGAGACTACCAGAAAAATCACAGAAAATGAAAGGAAAGTGAAAAAGTATCCTAGAGAAAAGACAAAGGGAAATTACTCTCATTTTGCTGCCAAGAAAACTACATGGACATGTAAATAGCAGAGTCTTTCCATTTCCAGCCTTAATGAGCAACCCAGTACTGGGTTCCTCAACAGTAGCTTTGTAAATATCTATCCAAGTTGTGTGTCTATATGTGTATGTGTGTGCTAGTTTTTCTATCTTCAGCTTTAACTTTAGGATTACAATTGATCCCTACTTATTTGCAAACACACTTCACTGAGTATCAATAGAATTATGCAGCACTTTATATGTTTAATAAGACTATAAGAGGAACTGGACTGCATTTCATGCTATACTAGGGTTAGATGACAGCTTATTGAACAACAGAGTGACCTAGTTCACACATGACAGCCACTTTGGTGCCTGTTTGGTTAAAGACACTGGGGCTAGAAATCCAGTTCTAGGCCTGCCTTGGGCCAGTCCCTTTCCTTCAGACCTGGGAAGAAGGCAATAGCATTTCCCAAAAATGTTGCCAAGTAAACAGCATGGATTTGTCCAATGGAATTACTAGGTATACACACACACACACACAAAATCATAAATTCAAATCCCAGACCATGGTTTACAATATAATAGCTAAGTTCATCTACCTGGAAACCGGTATGACTTTGTGAAAAATAAGACTCTAGCCCTCGTATCTAATTAGACTTTACTTCCCAGTTAGTATACACATTACACAACGATTTAGCCCAAATAATGAATCCTTTCTTTCCAATTGTACCTTTAGTTACAGCTGGTTTTTTCAAAATTGTCAATTTTATGATGTGTGGACTTGTCTATGGAGATTTTCAGTCATCCACGTCATGGTGGTCCCAAAGGTGCTTTATTAAGAGGTAAATAGACATTCTGGTTTTTCTTTGAAGACGTTTCACTTCTCATCCAAGAAGCTGAAGAGGCTTCTTGCATGAGAAGCAAAACGTCTTCAAAGAAAAACTAGGAACTCCACTTGCCTCTTGAAAAAGAACCTTTGGGACGATTCTAATGCTGGCTGGGGAATTCTGGGAGGTGAAATCCACATATCTGAAAGCTGTCAAGTTTGAAAAACACTGGTTCATAGGATCTTCAACATATTATATAGAACAGTAGTCCCCAAACTTTCTGGCACCAGGGATCGGTTTCACGGAAGAAAATGTTTCCATGGACGGGGGGGGGGGGGGTTGCGTACAACCTAGATCCTGTGCGTGCACAGATGAATTCACTCGCTCATCTGCTGCTTGTGTGGCCCATTTCCTAACAGGCCATGGACCAGTACTGTTGGGGACCACAATATAGGGTACAGCAGTTTCTTTTTCAGGCACAAGGCACAATTCTTTTTCAGGCACAATTTTTTTATGACACCTAATAACTACCAAGTATGTTTATACTTGAGTCCAGGCAAAAGCTACAAAAATCACTTTTATGGGAAAACCAAAGCAAACAGCAACAAAAACACTTTCCCTGTGTTATTATTATTACATTTTCCCTTAAAGCTAGACTTTCATTTTCCAGCATCAAACAGAAGCAAGCAGTCTTTGGAGACTACAGTTCACACAAAAAAGTATGCTGTAATAAATGTATTAGTTTTTAAAAATCTTAAGAGTCTGTGTAGTTTTTGCTGTTTAATTTCCCTCTGGAAATATTTGCAGATGCTGTTATAAAAAAAATAAGTAAATACTATTGTAAAAACATTTCCTTTAAATGAGAATTGATACATATCTTTAACAGAGCAAAGAAATAATCTCAGTATTAGAATTAAATAAAAGCTTTAGGGGAAAAACAACAGAACACCAAACTGAAAAATCAATGAGGTGTCCAGTTTATTTATTTTATTTTATTTATTTATTTGATTTGCCAATTGTTTACAAGATAATAAGTAT